TAGACCTAGGGTGTCGTGTAACACCCTACTTTTCTAAAACTAAATCCCAAAATACTTTAACTTTAAACAAGATAAAAAGTAAGATTAATTAACTAAAATCCGGGTTGGACTTCCACTTGGAAGGTTGTGAGTTCGAGCCTCAGTGGAGGTGTTGTTAGCTCTTTGTGTTTCAATAGGTTGAGAAAGTATATGAACAGATACTACAATGTAATAGAGCTAGTAGCATTCAAAAAAAAAAAACTAAAATCCAATCAAAACCAAAGTCGGGTGTCACCGCCACAGTCACCACTCATGGTGACCGCACAGGCTACAAACGGGGTAACTACTAGAGTCAAGCTCAATAAAAACAACATCAAAACTACTTCAATACTTGGGGAACTAACCCCGGTGTCCTAGCACCATCAAAAGGATCAAACATCAGTGTCTAAACGTCAATATCCAAAACAGAGTCTAAACTAGAATCTAACAATTCATATCTACGCACTATACTATCTCGTGCGCGCTCAAACACTGGGCCCACCTGAAAGGGGTTATAAAAACAAGTAGAAAATAAACCTGTTAGCAAGAATGCTAAGTATAAAGCCACTCAACCCTGTAAAGTACTATAGATATATATTTAGAAAACATTTGACAATCACACATAATCTCAAACACTTTGCAACACTTACACAACAATCTCATAACATGCTCATAACAAATCTATATGCTTGCAACCTATTCTTCATATAAACATGCTTTCTCAAAGTACTCAACTTAACCCAATTCTCATGCTTTAAACAAGTAGCTCTAAACATAGCTCATCATGTAATACTCATGCTCAAACAGATAGATAAAGAGATACTTAAAACTCAACAAGCAAGCTCATCATGCTATCATGCCAACTCATAAACATCAACAAAGTACTATACATCTCATTATACTCTAAATGCAAATCATGCAAGTCATGTAACAATAAATATCATGATGCTATACATATAATTGTATATACTCTCGCTCTTATGTAAAAAAGAATGCTTTTTCTGTGGAGGTTTCTGCTGAGTCACATTGACTCGCTTTTCTCTTCTTTCACTTGAGTCTCTTGACTCACTTTTCTCTTCTTTCTCTTGAGTCTCTTGACTCGCTTTTCTCTTCTTTACCATCTTGCTTTCTTTCTTTCTTTACTCATGGGCGAGGTAGGACTTTACGAATCGTGAACGAATCTATCTGGGCTCAGCATCTAGCCGGCCTAATACTCATCTCGCCCATATAACCACTCTCTTGGTTCTTATCTCAAACTCTGTGGAATCAGGTATCGTACTTTGTGTGCACACCCCCTAACCGGGATTCCAAGCCCAGCGGGTAGTATCCAACCTAGCAACTCGGGAATATCATCCAAGTTACTTCTAAAATATCTGTCGGTTCTCATTAACCATTTCTTTCCTTTCTTAAACTTTCTTTCTTTCTCTTTTCTTTCGAAAGGACATAGTCCTAACGGTCCTCCAAAATACTATTTTCTCACAATAGATAGCATATAGATATAACTCATGCAATTTCTTTCTCACGCAACAACTCTAACTTATGCAAGCTTATGCGCATAATTCTCAACAACTTCTCTTTCTCACATTTTGAAAATCAAATATCATGCAATCTTCTCAATGCAAATATATAGCTAATGATTTTCCAAAATAGATATAGGTTTTTGAAATAGATCTTAGGCTTTACTTAGAGCCAAAAATGCACTTTAAGCAATGAAATCTACTAACATGCTCTTTACTGATATAATATACTTTAAATCTCATTCACTATGGAACAAGGAAATATGCACTGATTTATACTAAAATCTCAACACTTAGCACATCTTCTCAATAAATACTTAACAAGTATTGATCATGATTCTCAACTCAAAACATACTCAATGGCTAGTAATTTCATTCACTGTGTAAACAAGGGAATTATGCATTGTTCATTGCCAAATTCTCAAATACTTAGTAAAACTTCTCAACAAATACTATCAAGTATTTAGACATGTTTCTCAATCAAAATATCATTCTCAAAAGTTATAAACCCAACCTCTGATATAGTTCACAAACAACAACAACAACAGAACATTCATCTTCAACATTTCTAACTGTAAATCATGCTTTCTAATTCCAAATTCAACGAAACTAACTTCTACTAGTGCGTCGTAGCGAGCCCGAGTATCCGAACCTCAAGGGCCCACGAGTCCCGGTCCGAACAACGCGTAGCTGAGCCACAGAGGGCACGGCCAGAACTAACTTTGGCCTGGCGGAGCTTGGTGACGGGGCTTGGGAAGCCCCCACTTGGCTCCACCAAGCGGCGGCCCTAGGCGACGGATCTTGATGAGATCCGTCCCCTGGAGCCGTTGCTCCACGATTCTAGCCGGCGGACCTACTCAAGATCCGTTGGCTAAGACCGTGAGGCCATCTGGTGCACCAGACATTGTGCAATAGAGCCTTCTTCTTCACCCAAATCAACTCAGATCAACCAAAAATACTTCCAAACCTCAATAAATCAATCATAGATCATCAACAACACACCAAAAGCTCAACCGCAAACATTATGTAGCATTTCTAAACATCTAAATCTCATTTCTTACATTTAACAGAGTCAAAAATCTAGTTGGGAGTCCATGGTTTATACCTTAGCTTCTTCTTCTTCATATTGCGTGGATCCCTTCTTCCTCTCAACTCAACCACTACCTCTTTCACCACCCAAACACCTCAAACAAACAATACAACAACACTTAAGGATAGAAACCTCAGAGATGGGAGGCAAAAGAGTGGAAAACTAAAAGAAAAGATGAATGCATGGATGAGAATGAAGCTTGGAAACTTACTGTGTTTTCTTCTTCTTGTCTACAGAGAGCTCAAGGGTGGAGAGGCAAAGAATGGGATCAGGAGAAAACATAGTGTTACTGTTCTATTTATATGGGTGCAAAACACTAGGTTGATCACCAATGATTGGTTGAGCGCAAAGAAGTAAATTGGCTTGCTTCTATAAAGATCAAACAAAGTTTGTAGAAAGCTCATGGTTCACCTTGTATCATGGACCAAGGTTTCAAAAATGATTTTGGATAACTTGGGGTCAAAAATAGATTTTATGAAAATAGTTTCTAGTTGAAACACTTGATTTAGGTTTCACAGGTTCCTTTCCGGTTTCCCTTAGATTGACTTTTTGGGTCAAAACTTGGTACATAATTGTACCCAAAACATGGGATTTTCGAAATAGAATATTCTCGGTGTTGAATTTATTTAAAAACTCAATTTAAAATATTTAATTCAAACACCGTTTTCGAAATAAAATTTTTGTAAGAGTGAAAATAGCTAATTTGGAATTTAGAAATTATTTTTGGGTTGTCACAGTTCGCCAGAGGCTGTCTGTCTTTGTCCAAACCCGTCAGCAAATCGTCACTGAACCAATCTGAGCCATCAGATTCATCCATAGTGTCATCGCCGATTGAAGGAGCCGTCGCCACTGTGTCAGCGAAAGATCGTTTAGAGGCCCGAAACTTTTTGAAAGCCCTTGTAGGTTCCCCGTCCGGTGGAGGGCCGGACGCCGGCGGTGGATCCGCCGGACACTGCATGGGAAAGGAAAGAGCGGGAAAGGTGGATCCCGCCCAGGCTTACCAAACTTAGGAGGAGAACGGTCTAGAGAGAAAACGCTCAAAAAAAGATCAACCAAAAAGGTGATATCATGATAATTTGATAGATTATAATACTATATCATTGATTTTTTTTTTTCAAAAAAAAAAAAAAAACTTATACATCAAAATTATTTAGCTTCAAGATTATTTACAGGAATTATAACTTTATAAGGGAGTATCTTATTCTAACTTAGTTACTTCTATAATTCGAATTATGGAATATAATTAAGTGATATAAAATTCTACAATATTTAACATAAAAATATCATAATCTTTAAATACAATCTGACAAAATATATTTATAATATTTTGTAATTTATGTAAGCTTTTTAAGCATGCACCACTCCTTATTTTTAAAATTAAATATTTTGATGTACAATGATACAATCTTATACTATTTCTCAATCTCTATTTTTATTAAATTTCTAATACAATAAAAACATTCTTAAATACGTTCATACTTTTATAGTAATTAAAATTCTAATATAATTATACACCCAAGTCAAGTTCGTTGCACATAGTCTTTTTCTATCTGCAGTTGATAGTTTCTGTACTTGTAGCTATTGTATTACGTGTCAGCAATTATCAAGTAGATTCTGTACTTAGAGTTGCACAGTTTCTGTATTTACAAGGCGTTTGGTTGAAGGGAATTTAAATTCTCATCCCACTTAATTCCCACAAAAATTCCCTTGTTTGGTTGAAAGGAATTGCAATTCCCCAATTTTCATGGAATTAAAATTTCATGTCCCCCCTGAGATTTTAATTCTTGGGATTTTTGGAAGAAAAAAAAGATAGTGATGAGTCAAAATTACTCTACCTTTTTTAACTTAAAATTAATGCATGGCAACAACAATATACATTTTGGACTTTATACTACTTATTCCCTTTCAATTTCCATGTATACAATCATCGGAATTGAAATTCCCAGTAATTCTATTCCTGTAAACCAAACACTGGAATTAAAATTCTCACTTTGTTCCTAGTAATTCATCTACCATAGAATTGCAATTCCTTTTCCACATAATTCTCCCTCTCCAACCAAACGCCCTGTTATAGTTGCACATTTTGTCAAATTCTGTGTTGACACATTTTGTATCTGCAGTTGATAATTTCTGTACCCGTAGCTATCACATCATGCATCAGCAATTATCAAGTTATTTGTTTATATGTACAGAAACAGTTAATTGTAAGTACAGAATGTATTAACTTACGATACAAAATTTTTGTATAGTGTTCACAATACAATATGAACAATGGTCCATGGTATAACAATTGAAGCACGTGTGCCACGAACGAAAAAGCAATCCCTCTCAGCGTCTCACTATTTAAAGTGTGCCACCCACGGAAGAGCAATCAGTCTCTCACTCTCACTGATTCTCTCTCTCTCTGTACGCTATACAGTGATTTCCTTTTCATTGCTTCAATTGCAATCTCTAAATGCATCTGTTGATACATTTTGATCGTAGTTCATGTTAAACTTTGGTGTTTATCTTCATTTATTTCAGCATAGCATTTTGATTAATCATTGTATGATACTTGTGTTGGAAATTTTGAGTTCCAACACAGGTTTTAATACTGATTTTGAGTCAATTAATTTACAAAATATAATCTTTTTAAGTATCTTAGATTGTAAATGCTAATTTTTCAATGGGTTTCACAAGATAGAAGGTTCTAATCCTAATTTTGAGTAACAGAAATATAATTCAAAAAAATAATGATAAATTAAGCATATTACAAACTATGACTATCAAATATACAATAAACAGTAGATGGTGACTGCTAATTAAGTTCAAATCTTTCTATCTCTGCTTGTTGATAGATTCCGTTACCTTTTCTGTTACATTTAAAACTTTTCGTTATCGAAAAATTATGCTTCAAGAGAATATTCAGAAAATTACATGTAAATTTGATACAGCATCAAGAAGTGAAATATTGGATATTGAACTAGGACAGATTGAGACCTAATTAATTATGGAATAATCTTTCTTTTCATATTATATATGCATGGTCTTAAGTTGAATATTTGTTTTGATTCGATCAGGAGGCCGGCATGGATAGAAGGCTCTGCTTTGTTGTTGTTCTTGTTGTACTAGCTATTAGCAGCTGGTGCTGTAGTGCAAAAGATTTAGCAGCTGCTGACCTTAAGACACAATCCTTAGATGTCTCAGGTTATTTTGGTTATTTTTCTTTCCTCTATATAAGACTGTAATTTCTAACAAACATTATATTCCCTAGATGCTAAGGTTCTTTTGTTTGCATTGCTTGTGCCCTTTTATCTTTTCAATTCTTAGTTTTATCTATTTGGTTTCTTGAGTCATTTCAATAAATGAATGAGATTATGGAATACATTATATTAGTTTTTGCTTACATCCACAGAGAAACAAGTTGAAGGCAGTCTGTGCGTACAGTGTAAAGAATTTGTGACCACCTATTCTGATGAGCAGAAACAAAGGGAGTTAATTAACAGCCTTCACAATTACTGCAAAAATATTGGTGCAATAACGGATAATCCTGCGTGGGGGCAACAGGTATTTAATGCTTCTTTCTGCTCCTAATTGTCCATTAAAGCTCCATCTTTAATTTTATCTGGAAACAATTCAATTCAACAATATTTATAGTACAACAAATTAAAAGCAGATCAAGAATGTTGTGTTGATATATATATATATTATCTGATCCATACTGGTGTATAGAATTCAAGCATATGCTGAGATTCGAATTGAAACGTGTGCTACATATCAACTAAAAGCCTAAGTTGATAGTTAGATTGCACATTAATGGTTATATGCTCAACATATATAGTAGTATCTTTGAATTTGCAGTTATTATTTATAACTTTCCTTTTACCAATATTGAAAATTGAATTAATATAATGTTACCCATTCTGCAAACAGTGCATTAACAATGTGGATCAAACGCTTCCTAATATATTCGAAATGATCTCCTCCTCAACGCCTGAAACAATCTGCAAATTGTTCTGTGAAGGAGTTGTTTCCATTTCTCAATATGCGGAATCCACAGAGAAACAAGTTCAAGTCAGCGGAAATGAAGATCAGTGCTTAAAGTGTAAACAACTTGTGGTCACCTATTCTGATAAGCAGAAACAAAGCCAGATAATTAACGCCCTTCACAGTTTCTGCCAAATTAATTTTCCGTTCCCACAACAGGTATTTAATGCTTCATATCAGCTCCTAATTGTCCATTAAATTTTATCTGGAAACAATCTACTTAACAACAAATTAAAAGCAGATCGATTGAGAATGTTGTGTTGATATGTTATTATTTATAACTTTCATTTTACAAATATTGATCTGTTACTCCATTCTGCAAACAGTGCATTAACCAGTTTGAACCAATTCTTACTAATTTATTCAAACTGATCAACTCCTCAACGCCTGAAAGTCTCTGCAAATTGTTCAATTTCTGTGAAGGAGCTGTTTCCATTTCTCAACAAAGGTGAGAGTTGTAATAAAATATACTCCCTACATATAATGCAGGAATAACATATGTTATTGATATATTTTAAGTATTACGTTATATTCATGAATTCCCTAATGTATATACTCACAACTTAACAAGAGCCATTGGAATGTTGTTCATAATTTTTGGTTTGATGTGGCTTACTAATCTTACTTTCATGATAAATTTGACAGTGCAAGAAACTTGTTTTCGAATATGCCCCTCCAATTCTGGTGAACGCCGAGCAGTTCCCAGTAACAAATGACATCTGCACTTTGCTGCATGTTAGCGACTCGCCAACTCTTGGAATTGAGCATTCTGCATCTTAAGGAAGAAAACCAGTGGAAACCTTAGCTTGTTCACATGTTGTAGACTGTGGTTTGCTTTATTTTACAACCTTGTTCACATGTTGTAGACTGTGGTTTGCTTTCTTTTGCAACCTTGTTCACTTGTTGTAGACTGTGGTTTGCTTGCTTTTACAACCTTGTTCACATGTTGTAGACTGTGGTTTGCTTGCTTTTACAACCTTGTTCACATGTTGTAGACTGTGGTTCACTTGTACGCGTATTGCGCAAATAATCCAATGTTCAATGTGTATTTTCAAATTAGTGTTTTTGAATTTATCAAAGTATCATTCAGTATTTTGGCGTATATCAATGCAAGATTATCAAATTTTTCATAAAAGTAAGTATTTCAAAAATTCATAACTATGACTTATGGCAGAAATGTTCGATTAACTGGTGCAATAACAATTTTAGATGGTAGCACCCAGGGACGGAGGTAAGTGTATGTTTAGGGGGGCCAAGGCCCCCCTCCCCCACCCCAAAATTTTTTAATATTATATATGTATTAAATTTTTTTAAAAAAATATTATATAGAATTTTAAAATTTTGTTGTTTTTTCAAAATATTTGGCCCCCCTCCACTTAATTAATCTTACAGGTAAAGTTATAAATTTTTTCATCTTCTCAACTTTTTCAGTTCTCTCCTATTTCAAATTATGTATTCCATATATTGTTGACTCACATTCAAATTAAATTTCATTTAACCTACTTACTAGTTTCTCTGCGTAGAACCATGCATATATGCGGCATATACGTTATAATAAGATAATTTGTCATTAACAAAATCTATGCATATTTTTCAAGTTAATTTTTATTTTTTATTTTTATTTATAACTACTTGTTTGGTTAATTTTTGTTTCATATTCTATTGTTTATCTTAAATAATTGTTTTGTTTGATTCTAAATCATGGATATCAAGTGCATTTGTTTGATTAATTATGTAAATTTGTGGTTGTGTGATAAATTTTGTATTTAATTTAAAATGCATAATAATGTAACAATTGTGTAGTATATGTATTTGAGAAAACAATTGCTATTATGTTATGTTGTGAAGAGGATTTTTCAAGAAATAATCAATAGTCTTTTAAAACATGCGTGAATGTTTTCATTCTTTCAACCGTACAATGCAAAGTAATGTGCATTGAAAAGCATATTGCAAAATAATTTAATATAGATTCAATTATAAATAATTTATTCTAAACTTTATTGAATTTGTAATGTAATGATTATTTTGAGATATGTTAACGGGATATCAATGTATTTAATTTAGTACTTCAATCGTAGTTCGGCCCCCCGCATTGTTCCGTCCTGGCTCCGTCCCTGGTAGCACCCTCACTGGAAGTAAACAAGCATAGTTTTTACAACACAAAACCCTATTAATTAGCGTGATTCATACTTCCTCTCGTTGTCACTTCTCTCCTAGTGTGCATCACTGCAATTTTAGTGCATTGGCTCAGTGCACTTGTCTTCCTTTCCCAAAAAGACAATGATAATAGGCATAGTTATGCACCTTCAAAAACTGAACCATCTCCTTTTCCGAAAAAAACAATGATAATAGGCATAATTTCTCATCCGTGTTTAATATATACTGTAAATTAGGTGTATCGGTTCATCAATGCACAATGCGCGATTTTAATTAATTGACCAAAGTCCATGTTAAATTTTATATTATATATTTTTAATATACTCTAATATATTTATAGTATATGTTTGACAATTATGTCAATTTTGATTGGGATGAGGTTCGAACCTAATACCTTCCTTGTGAAAATCAATATAATGAATAAGTTAAGAATAATAAATAATTAACGGAATATACCGTTACTAGAGTTTACCAGAATGCAGAGCTATTTAGGAAAAGTAATGATATAATAGAGATAAAGTCAAAATAATATGAACCAAATTCAAATAATATGAACCATTCATTAAACAAATAATTAATTACACAAACATTTTTTAGTTCCAGTTAGCGGCCTAACTTTTTTTTGAGTTCCCGTTAGGGGCCTGATAAGCACTATTTATATATTTAATTTAGATTAATTTTTAGGCTAAAGTGTCATCCTGCACCATAATCTATATCTTATTATTCATCCCGCACCCTGAACTTTCATATCGTACATATTGAGCCATGTATCATTAATTTTTTTTCTTCTAGCATTTTTGACAGGTTTCATACAGATTATCAGTAACAATATGCTGACATGGAATTTTTAATTTTTTAATTATTCGTTTTTCGTAAATAGCTGGCCCAAAATCCACCATCCTGACCCGTTCTCTCCGGCGACTGCGACTTTTTTTCCCAAATTTGCATTTGACAATTTCTGGCGCTGACGGTGGAAGTGTATTATGATTTTCTGGGTATTGAAGTTCTGTTCGTGTATTTTCTTTGTTATTTTCAAAACAGGTTTGTCACCAAACATGATATTGCTTTGGCCTCCAACAGGATTAGAAACTTTGACAGACATGGAGCTTGGTTTGGGAGACTCGGCATAGACTCTCTCCATAGCCTCCACTTGCTCCGCCGTGTAGCTGACATACTTTCCGGCGTCAAGGTGCCCCTGTCAATGCACCCACTGCTACTCTCTATGATGTTGTGCAACCAAAGTCATTATTATTCCCAGAGAGATATTCTCTACAAGTGGGCGAGCAGCTTTTATATGTTCACACAAAGAAGAGTGAGATTCTCTGAAGGCTCAAGAACTTTTTCTTTCTTTCTTTCGTGTGATCTCAGAGAAATGAAATGGATGGAGGATCTTGATTGAAGCAGAAGATTCTTGGGTTAGTTTTTTTTAAGAATGCTCACAAACACACTTCACGCTTACCTTACAAATGAAGGTACATACAGCCAAAACTGCTCAACTAAAGTTGCGCAACCAAATTCTCTATCCCATTCTGACAAAATCATCTCTTCTCTTTCACACTGCTTATCACCTTCATAAAAGCAGCTGTAAACAACTCGTGCCAAACGGAAAAAAACACATCACTCGTGCCCCTCCCTGCAGATTTACCACAAAACCAGTTGAAAGCTTCTCCAGAAACAGTAAAATCGCCTGGCTTTATCGCTCAAACCACCCACCGCTCTCGCTATGAGCTACGGCTCGGGACTGCCAAAAAAAAAAATAAAGTTTCTTTCAAGACAAACCAAAAAAATATCCACTGACAAATTTGAAAATCCAAAAAAAGTACTGGATTTGCAGAGGGGGACATTGGAACTCAGGAGGGAGCTGCGACCGGGAGACGAGGCCGTTAAGAAATGAGAGTCATCTGGCTCCATATCCATGAATGATGAAGGTCCTGAAATCCGTCATTGCAGAAATGAAGACCCCAGTGCTGTATCTCAACATTTCCAGAATGACAGACTACATAAAAGATGGCCATCCTTCCATTTTCAAGCAATCTAAGACACAAATTAAAGGCTGCTCGGGATGACTAGGACTGCAACCTCACATGTCTTTCATTTTATTGAATGAAGTAAATGAAATGACAAATGAGCAAATACCAATTTTGGTCCCACGAGTATTAGCAAAATGACGGTTTTAGTCCACATGTTTAATTCCTACAATTTTTCATCCACGGTTATTGTTTTAGTACCAATTTTAATCCATGACTATTATTTTAGTACTAAAATTCATCACGTCGGTCACCCATCAATTTAAGACATCACGAAATCTAAAAATTTGAAGGGCATTTTCGTTATTTTCAACTTAATATTCCAATTTGAGCATAAATAAATGAATTTAAGCCCTAAGATTAATCCAAATTCGCAGTTCTCCTCCCCATCCTACCTTAATTTATCGAGGAAAACTGTGAATTGAGATAGATCTTAGGGCTTAAATCCCTTTATTCATGCTCAAATATGGATCCTAATTTGAAATGCATGAAACTACCCTTAATAATTTCATATTCCGGCATGTCTTAAACGGAGTGGCCGGCGTGATGAATTTTGGCACTAAAACAATAGTTGTGGATGAAAATTGGTACTAAAACAATAGTCGTGGATGAAAATTGGTAGAAATTAAATATGTGGACCATAACTGTCATTTTACTAATACTCATGGGACCAAAAATGATATTTGCTAATGACAAATACTATAACTTTTTTTCTTTTTTTTTTTTTCAAAATCAATTTCTCAAACTCATAATCAATATTACTCAAATTGCCATTAGTTCCATATCTCATTCTCATGGTAAGCAGAAAATATATTGCTCCCATTCATCTCCTTCAATTTATACCCTGAACAAGGTTTCCGTTTGTTCAGGCTCTGAGCTTCCTCATCAGTGATCTTACCTCCAAAGAGCACCTTACCGAATCCGTCAGAAGGCTGATGAGAAGTAGGGAGGCGGAGCGAGAAGCATTGCCGGCGAATGAGGAGGCGTATGTCTCAAGTTGACTTTTTTTGTTTTTTTTTTTTTTGTTTTTTTTTGTTTTTTTTTTTGTTTTTGTTTTTTTTTTTAAGTAAAACTATTATGGCATCCTCAATAGTTGGGGATTTTATCCCAGACTTTTGTGGGCCCCAACATCCACCTCATCATCCACTATCTCACTCAATCACAAAATCTCTTCTTCCCATTAGTTTTAAGTTTTTTCACAACTTTTTGTGGAACCACCATTTATCTACATATTTTAATTATTTCTTTATTTATTTGATTTACAAATTTATAATTTTATAATAAACATAAATGAATTGTATACGTGAATGAACATACGTACAAATTATAAGCTTTTATTTTCAAATTTATAATTAAAATAAAAAAACAATTATTAATTCCTTAAAAACAAAAAAAAAAAACAATTATTAACAAAAATAAAAATTAAAAAAAAATAATGTGTGCTGTGCCGTTGCAATTGCAACGGCACAGCATTGGCCGGAAAATTGGCCGTTGCCAAGCAAAGGCCAAAGGCCAAATAAATATAACTTCAGAGGCGGTCACTCTGAAACGCCTTTTTTTTTTTTTTTTTTTTTAAAAAAATTTTCTGACATGTTTCTTTGAATTGTAGGAGGAAAATGTGGTGAAGATTTTTTTTTTGAATGTGGTGAAGATTTTGTTTTCCCATTTGTTAAAGTCTATCCCAAGGGGATTTTACTATTTTAAAATACTAGTATTTGCACCCGTGCGATGCACGGAATGGATTTGTTGTAATATATTAAGAATATATGAATCGATATATATAATTATTTAAATTAGAACATCAAATATTATATAGTACAATTAAAGATATAGTTTGGATCGTTTATATATTTTGATGTTATCATTGCTTGAATTTGTGCAAATAATT